AGTGACACACAACGTGAGTTATGCTCGATTTTTTGCCGATTTTTGACACACCACGCCAAAAAGGTTGCCCATCACTGGTATAGGGTCTCCTACTTGTGCAGTGGGTGGACTAGTCCAGGGGTCTCCATCCTTGGGAATTTTAAGACTTGTGGACTTCAACTCCAGTCTTAAAGTTGCCAAGATGGAGACCCCTGGACTAGAAGACCTCCAAGGTCCTTTTCCACCTGTTACTCTAAACCTGTCCGCAGAGAATTGCACACCAAGAAAATCACCTTTTCTCACGTGTCTTTTCAAAGGCGAAATTTAGCTATTTAGAGCCACCCACCTGCAGAAGAGTTTGCAGACCCTTCGATTCCTTACAGGCCACAGCCTTCTCTGCAAAAAAGGCCACATCGCTTCCCAGAAGGAATTAGAACAAAATCGTCCCTTTCTCCCCCCGCCAATCGCCCTCCCCCGGCTCCATCCTGTCCAGCCTTTCTCCCCTGTGCAAGAACCCCACGCTTCCTTTGCTACCACGACCTGACGTTCGCTTTTGGCTTCAACTGAGGGCAACGTGCCCTTTTTGCAACGTGATTGGTCGAGAGGGAAGAGGGCGGGGCTTCGGAAAGGGCGGGGCGCCACGTTCTCCCTTTTATAGCTATTGTATAGCGGGCTCCGTAACTCAAAGCGCTATATGCGTTGGGGATCGATTTGTTTCAGTCCGCTTACAAAGGGAATATAAACAATACGTTTGCAGAGTAATCTTGCATAATTCAATATAACCTTCAGCGCTTTTTTTTAAAGGTGAGGTTCTTCTTGGGAGGAGTGTGCAGTATTAAAAAAATCAATTCGGGATGGTTATGATGATCGAATATTAAAGGGAGGAGTTAGGAAAGGAAGCCTAGAAGTAGGATTTTTTTAAACGAGATGACACGAGGCTGCTGTTGGGGAGAAGGCGATTCAACATGCACTCTTCGTATGCTCAGGCGTAGTCTTGCAGGGCAGGTGGTGGATCTGAGACCAAGTCAATCCCTGTCTGTACATCGCCTCCCTTAGGTGGAAGAGGCATGCACGCATCCGCAAGCTGAGAGATGACGTAGCAGCCTTGCTCCGCGTGGTGGGAAGCTCTTGGAAGGTCCCTGGCAGCGACCAGGTAGCCCTAAAATAGAAGAGCAGAAGCCAGTATAATTTTATTGCTGATTTATTTTAAACCTGTTACTACAATACTACGCTTCTACATTTTTTTTGGCTCGCCCAAACCACATTGTAGCACCCCGCTTCCCCGCAGTTCTGGTGGTTTGCTGCAAGAAAACCTACATTTTAAAAAAATCGCCCTTCCGCAAAACAGCCGGGCATGAGAAACATAAATTTTATTATCCGAGGTTTCCTCCGCCGCTTGGCGCTGCAGGAGGAGGATGCTTTGAATCTTTATGTTTTTCCCCCTCCAGACTTAAAACCGCGGAAATGACCGCTTACTAGGACGTGGCCGAGAGGGAGACGGAATGACAAGGTTTAAAACTCAAAGCCCCAAACGGATTTAATCTAGAATTTGCCAAGAATGTTTCAGAGGGGGGGGGGTGATTAAAATTATATATTTCACAAAAAAAGCCTCCACCCACTTGATCAATACAAAAGTCATAACATCCTGATTTGGGCATGACCTTTTTCCTAGAAATACAAACTGGAGAGACATGAGGCCGATCATGATTTAGGGCAGGGGTCTCCAACCTTGGCAACTTTAAGCCTGGTGGACTTCAACTCCCAGAATTAAAGTTGCCATGATTGGAGACCCCCGATTTAGGGGATGATTGTAGTGTTTGGGTGCTTAAAGCAGCTGTTGACTTTGCTGGCTAGGGAATTCTGGGAGTTGAAGTCCACCAAGGGTTAAAGTTGCCAAGGTTAGAGACCTCTGATTTAGGAGATGATTGTAGTGTTTGGGTACTTAAACAGTTATGTTGGCCCTAATACGTGATGCAATTCACCTATCATGCTTTTTAGACTAGCCAACTTTAAAATCTGGAGTTGGTAAACTAGAGAAAATGAGCTCATCTGACTATCATAACTATTTTCACCTGCAGGTTTATTTAGTTTTGCTTATTCATTTTATTATGTACTTATTTATGGGCTCCCAAGGAATTCAAGCCACATCCCAGCTTTTCCACCTCACTGTGTTTTTTATCTTTAGAACCACAGCCTCAGGTAGATTATTAGATCTGAGAAAAAAGTGATTCGCCCATATATAAAAATATTTACGAGCATGAAAATTTGAGCTGGAATTTCCCTTTTCTACTCCAACACGTCTTTTTAAAACTTGCTGGTTTCTCCCCCATTCTGCTTTTGGCTTTTATCCTCCTATATTGTGCTACGATCTTACCTGTGTGAATGCATTATTTCTGTGAAAAGGACTGGAGTAAAGTTGAGCAGAATTTTTTTTTTTTAGAATCTTAACTACAACATCTCTAAAAGCAAAGATTCTCAGTAGGTGGCAGCATGTAGCCACCCTTGGCTGATCTTTAAAAAGCTACAGTAAGCGGAATCAGATCTCTGTAGTGCTTGGATGGGAGGCCACAAAGAAGGTTGCCAAGCAAATAAAGACTAGCTGAAGATAAAGGTGAACTGCTTCCATATTGTTGCCAAGAAAGCAGCCTGACTGTAGCCTTAAAATCACCAGACATCAAGCGTATTATAAGGGTGATGTTACCTTTTTAACCCAGTATTTCTCAGCCTTGATAACTTTTAAGATGTGTGGACTTCAACTCCCAGAATTCCCCAGCTAGAGCCATGGAAGTTGAACTCCACACATTTTAAAGCTGCCAAGGCTAATAAACCCTGTTTTAACCTAACAAAAATCTTGGAAGATGGTCCAATTATTTCCTTATTGCAGAAAAATGGGAATGGAAAGTTTTATGTTTCATAAGGTTTTATTGGGGTGGCTCAGTGGCTAAAACGCTGAGCTTGTCAAGCAGAAAGGTCGGCAGTTTGGCGGTTCGAATCCCTAGTGCCGCATAACAGAGTGAGCTCCTGTTACTTGTCCCTGAAAGCATGTAAAAATGCAAGTAGAAAAATAGGGACCAGCTTTGGTGGGAAGGTAACAGCATTCCATGCACCTTTGACATTTAGTCATGTTGGCCACATGACCACAGAGATGTTCACTGACGTGAGGTGAGGTGTATGGCTGGTGATGCAGCAATTTTTTTAGACTTGTGGACTTCAGCTCCCAGAATTCCACAGCCAGGCATGCTTAGTTCCGATTTAAAGTGACAGCATTTGTTTTTCTCCTTTGCTAAATAGGTTTCCTTCTTTCTTTTTCTTTTTCTTCTTCCTTCCCCTCCTTCCTCCCTCTCTCCTTCCCTACCCCTCTCTCAAACACACACACACACAAACACACACACACACAA